AAGGTGTAGTCAAGCTCTTCGTGCACCTTTAAACGTCACCGCTGTCAGCTGAACTACACCACAGCGGAGTTCATGCTCCCGCTAACCCCACACAGCAAAGAGGACAAATAAAGAGTCTCTCACCGAGTCCACTTCCATCAGGTTAAGCTGGGAAGAGGCAGAGAGTAGGCTGTGGGAGTCCGGGGAATGCGACATTTCTCTATTTACATGGACAAAACTCGGACCGCTGCGGAAAACAGAGGCGCTTTCCGTATATTGATCTACGCATGCGCGACAATGCGTAGACAACGCAAATCGGAACTCGAAAAGGGCTTTTTCGTCCTTCCTTTCACAATAAAAGCGCAGGACACTGTGACTTCTAGCAGTGAACTAAGCTCAATCCTCCCAGTGACCCTGTGTGAAGTGGAAATAAAAGGATGCACAGACAGTCTCCTCGTTAAATTAACTCTGGCTATAAAGCCTATTTAATGATCAATGAAAAAAACAAAACAAAATTTGTGTAATTACCAATCAAATCATAAGAAATATTAATTGATATTGTATAATACGTGTCAATTACTCTTTAGTTGCACTGTAAAAGTCACACTAAACATATTTCACACAACATATTTTCATCATTGTCTCTGTTTTAAAAAAATACAGTAATATATGCTTATGAGATTTGGCTTGAATTCAAACTCTGCTTCGTACATTCTGCATTTCAGAAAAAATCACAAAGAAAATTCATTACAAAATACACACACAAGAAGCTTAAAACTCTCCTGCAATTGAAGAATTTTAACTGATGTAAGGAAAGACAACCGCTTTGTAGAAACAAGCAAAAATAGATGCAGATACTGCTGTTGAGGTATTTTAATCAGAATCTCAATCATAAATTCTTTTCAAAATAAAAAAAATATATGTAGATTTTATAAAGGATAGTAATATCTCAGAACAATACAAATCACTGTCTCACTCCCTGTATGTGTCCCTCAAGCTCCTTGGGAGTTTGAGGGATCTGTGCATCTTAGCTGATCCTAGGACTGCACTCTTCTGGACAGAGACCTCTGATGTTGTTCCTGGAATCTGCTATAGCAACTTTCCACTTTTGGGAGTTATAGCTCATAATGTTCTGGGACTTTCCTTCAACATCTGCTCCAACTGGTCCTGCAGTCCCTGGTAATTCTCTGGTTTCTCATTTTCTTTCTTCAGACGTTATCCTTCAAGCTCGGGTCCTCTACCAGACGCCTGGGAGCTTGACAATCCTCCGATCCTCCACCTCTCTGTCGCGCCTTGGTATTTTTCATTGATCATTTATTTCGAGCATTTGCGTACATATAAACAAAATAGAGCATGTATACAGGAAGGAAAACACTGTCTTCTAGTACAACAGGTGCTCGAAAAGGAGCGAGAAGAAGTAATTCTTATATATCTGTTTAAGCCCTGTGGGAGCGTCCGCATGCAGAAAATACAGAGACATGCTACAAATGTACTCACAGAGAGAACACAGAGAAACCAGACAGACATGGGCACGTGACTGGGTAAACAAACATGAGGACACTGATGACAGGACACAGACATGAGACAGAAAAACCTGGACACGAAAGGAACAAACATAAACAAACCAGAAATCTAT